AGGCTAGATGCGTTCCTCTAAGTCTTCCTACCAATATGACCATGTTGCCAAAACAAGGTCAAACAACCTCTTCACAACGAAAGGAGACTGCGACCACACAAAAGACCACACCCTCTTGGTCTTCATACTTTTATCCGAATGGTTGGACTAACCGATAGAACTGCGGGTGTGATGAGGCCAAACTAAACTTGCCGAAAGGGCACATCTTTAGACGAGTAGAATGTAAACAAATCAGAAGTTGTGATAGATCGGGAGTGGGATTAGAGGGCAACGAGTAGATAGTTGTGCCAGGAGAGAAAGAAGAGTGACAGCACAACAATTTCTCCCAAAAGTTGGTCGAGGGATTGACTTTACTTGTCTCTTTTGACGAGTTGTAACTTGTTGCTGAGACCGATAAGGTTCACTGATAATGCCGACTACGCTGCTGGCGAAACGACTGCTCTGGCAGAGGATTTCGGACAAGGTGCCTTCAACAAAGTCGCCATGACAACAAGGCCAAGTTGCGAAAATGAGGTCAATCCACTTCTACACATGAAAAGGAGACTGTGACCATATCTTCATATCTTCAATGCAGTCGACTGTTACGGCAAATGTAACTTTGCTTCCTCGGCAACCCCACCCCGGAAGGCGATATGGGAAAATGCCTGGCTCCCCGTGAAATGCACATCGGCCCTGAGACCCACGAGAGCGGCTAAAGTGTCGAGGTGATACGCTGCACTGTCATGCTTCGAGTCCCGTCAGAGGAGTTGAGGAGACGTGGGCGAGGACGCAACTGCAGTTCCCTCCGGTCGGGATGATAATGCATTTTAAGTCAGAAAGTCGGTGTGTAATTCAATGAAAATGTAAAGTTCACTCATGTCATTAGATAAAATTCAGCTATCAATCTTCCATCACCAAAAACAAACTAAACCGAGTACATGTCATACAAGTGATTTACTACCGGCCTCCAAATCCCACCCATAAACGAAAAGTGGTTATGATCCTTGTCGGATTCACACCGTGGACTTGGTACATTCGCATAAGTTTCGTCGAAATCGTCAGATAGTCCGGCATTATTAGAACCAAGCTAAAACGCTTTTCTTTCTGTCCTAATGCATCCGACTGTCTCGCTGTCGGGTACCTGTCCTGGACATCAAAGTCATCCGCTCGAATGGGACACTCAAGGCAAGGTTGTTCGGACTGAATTCATATGCCAGAATGCTACCCAATGTCCAGTCCCATAAAAACTTAACTGAATATCGAAATAATGAAGAGCCTCTGAGTAACGGAAGTGAAATTGTCGGATGACTTGGATATCCGTCAGCAACGGAAACACGAGAAAATTAAAATAAAAAAAACCTACAGGCCGTCAAAATGAAGTGCAAGGACGGGGATTGGGGCAGAAAAGTGAGGATAGAAAGAGGCAGACAAAAGTAGAGCGCTGACTCAACAACTAAAGCCCATATTAACAAGATGGACTATTCCGGCGACCACGAAGGAGAAAACCACACTCTTCACATGATTGCGGATAGAACACGAGAGGGAGGACATAATGGATTGCTCCCGAGTTGGCTGTACCATGCAAATGGAAATATGTTGGTGAAACAGAAAGCAAACTCAGCATAAGAAGCAAGCATGTTCAAAGGGTCTGCAGCAAAATGGAGACCGAAAGATGCGAGTCCGCGGAACACATCGCACAGACTGGACACGATGATACAGACGACTAGGAAGGCCGTTGACATGTTTTGAGGAAAGAAATTTCATGAAAAGGAGACTGGAATAAGAGTTTGCTCAAGCAAACTCGCCGAGAGCAAGGATACAGTGAGATCAGCAAAAGGAGATGCCCGGATCAGGGACCTTTTGTTAGGCAGAGGAGCAGGGATCTCGATAGTCACCAGAAATAGACTCGCACAGTTGGCTCGGAGAAGGCAGTTGAATCAAAGAGATGGGCTGAGAAGACACTTTCTCAGATCTGCAAGCTTGGGACTCAGATCCCAGCGCTTCTGCTCGGTGAAGCTGAAGTCAAACGTGTACTGTATGACATGTATTAATCCTATTTCATTTATGGAGCCATTCGTTGAATTTTCCCACAATTAAACGAGAAGTTGTGGCGTTTCTATGATTGTCCAAATGTGATTACCATCCAGACTTGACTGCAGTCTCGACAGCGCCTGAAATGGTCTCATCAGAACCCCCAGTGGGACTCGAACCATAAACCGGCAGCGTATGATCTCGGCTCGTTGCCCACCAGGTCGCAATGCCCCGTGTGCGCTTGTGTGACAGGGCAAGTGTGAATTCCAAGGAAGACCAGACATATTCGAGGGCCTACATGTGAAAGGAACAACGTATTCGGTGAGTGGAAAAGAGTGAAATCGGCCGACCAGAAAGATGAGAACTGAATCTACGGGCTCACAAGATTGACTGGGACAGGAGCTTCGAGTCGGTGCAGGAATTCCAGCAAATCGAGAGGGAATAGGGCAAATCGTGGGTGTGATTGCACTCCACTATACTTGCCAGAAAGAGCGCACTTCTTGAAGAGTGGAATATAAACAAATCAGAAGTTTGTATGGGGCGGGCGTGCGAGACGAGGATAGGATGTAGGCAGGTGTACCAGAACAGAAGAAGGGATGACAATACAACCGTTTATTTTTAGCATTTAAGTATTGTTTAGAGTCTACCAGTAAATCAGTAAGTAGTATGAGATTTATTTACCCAATTTCGTTTGAGGTGATGAAGGACTGGTAGAAGAATTTTCCCACGATCATGTGAGTAGAGCTGAC